GAGTATATATAGAGGTAAGAATGTAGCTTTCTTCACTCTTGTCAACTTTTTTTTGCTTCTAGTTTAGATTTTAGAGTCTCTATTTTCTTTGTCTTTTGGCAACAACCATTTCAGTCTTCTTTTAATATATATGTTACTTTATTGTTATTTTGTCACTTTTTTTTTAATACAAACTTTTCAAATTTATGCATCTTTTTCCAATTCATGTCTTTGATAGATTGACAAGTGTACACTTATAATATTAAATCTTTATCTTCTCTTAATTATGAATAGATTATATTTTTTTTCTTGATAAGACATAAGCATATTAGAAATTGTGGATTACCCTCTTCTAAACTAATATTGTTCTTAATATCTTTTTTGTTCTCAAATTCCTTCTTCTGCTTATCTTGAGTAATATTAGATATTTATTTTTTAAGTATTATTATAGTATATCTTATTAAAATGAAGAGTACAATGAGACAAATACAAGAATAATTCAAGGAGTTAATGCTTGCAATGCATCAATTCAGTTTACTATCATAAAGAATAACAAGAATGGCATAAAGTGAAGATATAGATATGATTGGAGTTGCTTCAACATTTGTATCCAATCATGTCCCTTCTCCTACAATGGAACATCCTTCCAATATTAGAGAACCGAGGGTTGTCTTGCTTGAGAAGTTTGATGGCACAAGATTCAAGTTTTGAAGATTTATCAATCAAGTATAAATTATGATTGAACTTCAATTCCAAAGCTATCCAACTCCAAGATCATAAGTTAGATTCATTGATACACTTCTTTCAAGTTCAACATTATTGTGGTTTTTATCTTTTCTTGAACAATGAGATTCAATATTGGATAATTTGGAAGTTTTGTTAGTAGAACGATTGAATTATAGCAATACCAATGCTTCATCAATACATACATTTAAAATTAGAGGATATACAAATTAATGTGGTATGTTTCAAACCTCTTATTGAGCAAGAAAAGACTCATCGCCATCAAGAAGAATTAAGCTTGTATTGTAGAGAACCTAAGCATATTGCTCAATATTATCTAAAGAAGTGACCCAATTATAAAATAAAGAGTACAAATATCAAAGAAGATAATATATTGGAAAATAATTTTATCTAGGTATAATAGGAACCATGCAGCTGGAACCTTATATAATACCTAATGAAGGTCCCATTCTCTCCTCAGAACTTTTTTTTTTTTATATTAAATATTATTTTAAGGCTTATATATTACAAAGTCTTTATCTTATTAAATTTAGGAGCCTCATCATATTTTTTAGATGAAGAATTTGCTAAAAGACTTAGCATATCTTTAGTAAGAAAAACTAAATTTCTTCATATAGAAATCATAGATGGTCGTCCCTTGACTTCTGGCGATGTTACTTACAAAATCTTTCTTATAGAAGTAATAATCAATGGTCATAATAGCTTTGTCGTATTTAATATCATTAGATCTTTTGCTAATCCAATCATTTTAGATTTATTATGATTAAAAAAATATAATCCTCAAGTAGATTAGATTTCTTGTATTTTCAATTTTTCTAAAAATATAACTAAGAGTGTAATTAATCAAGTAAAAAATCACAAGACTAGACAATTAAATCTATGTTTGTAGGTGTAAGAGTTTTCTTGTATGCTACAAAAGAAGGATCACCTTCTATCATTTGTGCCTCACCCATTTTTAATGGTGCTAAGACTTCAAGTGGTATTTCAAGCCAATATCAAGAATTTTAAGATATATTTGAGAAAAATAATATAGATACACTTCCAAAATATCGTCCCTATGACTATTTAATTGACCTTTAAGAAGAAGCACAACCATAATTTGGACCAATCTATAATTTATGACAAAATGAGTTGGCCAAACTTAAGAAGTATATTGAAAAGAATCTAGTCAAAAACTTCATACACCATTCCATAACTCTAGCAAGAGCCCCTATTCTATTTGTGAAGAAAAAAGATTAATCATTGTAGATGTGTGTTGATTATCAAAGACTCAACAAGATCACCATCAAGAATAGGTATCCACTACCTTTAATATGTGGACTTTTTGATCAATTGAATCAAGCTAAGATCTATACAAAAATAGATCTATAAAGAGTATATAATTTGGTATGTATTAAAGAATGAGATAAATGGAAGATTACATTTCAAACTAGGTAGGGACATTTTGAATATAATGTCATGGCTTTTGGACTTATAAATGTACTAGCAAATTTTCAACATCTTATGAATGATGTTTTTTGAGAATTTTTGGATGATTTTGTTGTTTATTATCTAGATGACATCTTGAACTATTTTAAGAATATAAAAGAATATGAATTTCATGTTCGTTGTATGTTATAAAAATTAAGAGATGTGGAACTCTATGCCAAGATAAAAAAGTATGTATTTCACACTACTTAAATTGACTTTTTAGATTATATAATTTCAAATGGACTTATAATGGATCGTAAGAAAGTTCAAACTATTATGGATTGAAAGATCTCAAAAATAATCTGGGATATCTAATTTTTTTGTGATTTGCCAATTACTATCGGATCTTCATTAAGGACTTCTGTCAAATTGCAACTCCACTTACACATTTGACTTGTAAAGATAAACCTCAATAGAATCAAGAAGCAGAAGCAGCATTTGAAGCTTTAAAGATAACTTTTGTACTTGCACCAATCTTGTATTGCATTGACTTTTTTAAGGCATTCTTTATGGAAAGAAATGTATCAGATTTTGTTTTAGGTGCCTAAAATAGGAAAATAATATAGATATCACAAATAGGAATAGATGATAAACTTCATGTACTAGCTTTTCATTCCAAGAAATTTTTAGCATTCAAGATTAACTATGAGATCTATGACAAATAGCTTCTTGTAATTATGGATTCTTTTTAAGAATGGTATTATTATCTAGAAGGCATTTCTAGTCCAATCATCTTATATATAAATCATAAGAACCTTGAGTATTTTATATCAACTTATATTTTGAATTGTGCCCAGACTCATTGAAACATGTCTTTGTCAAGATTTGAATTCAATATCACTTATCAATGATAAAAACAAAAAGGTTTATTTGATGCTCTTTCTAGACATTTTTATCTTGTACCTAAAGAAAGATATGTAGCTTTTGATCAAAAAAAGACAATTTTATTGAAGCAAAAATAATTTCATCTTCAGACAATGAAATCAGCATTGACTATTGATTTAACTTTTTTCAAACAAATTCAATTAAGTATGTCCTCTAATCTTCTTGTTTATGATATCAAGAATACTTCTTCTAAGTCTCGTAATACTTCTAAGTTTGACTTCAAGAACAACCTACTTTATTTCAAATGATGCCTATATGTACCAAAAAATAAAAGCACATTTACATATTCTTCAAGTATATCACAACTTTTCAGCAACATGATATTTTGGATACAATAAGATTTTGGAGCTAATATCTAGAGATTTTTAGTAGCCGAAAATATGGAAGGTTGTAAAAGACTTTGTTCAATCATGTAATATTTGCTCAAGATCAAAAACTCCTCAATATCGACCTTATAGACTTCTTCAGCCATTACCTATTTCAAAACAACCATGGTCTTCTATTTCTATGGATTTTATTACAGATCTTTCACTCTCAAGATCGTATGATTCTATATTCATGATAGTAGATCATTTTACCAAAATGACAAATTTTATACCATGCACAAAATCTATCACGGGTAAAAAAAATGCCAAGCTTTTCTTTGATATTATCTATCAATATCATGGATTGCCAAAAGATATTATATAGGATAAGGGGATTCAATTTGTATTAAGATTTTGAAAAATGCTTTTTAAAATTCTAAAGGTGGATATAAAAATTTCTTCAACCTTTCATCGTCAAATTGATAGACATAGAAAGCACGTAAATTAAGTTTTGGAGTAATACTTAAGATGTACCATCAATTATCAACAAGATGATTAGAAAACCTTCTTGCCATTGGCAAAGTTTGCTTATAATAGTATGATGCATTCTTTTATGTAAGTACATAAAAGAAGTATATGATTAAATACATTAAAAGTTATATATAGTCTTAATAAAAGAAGGCAAAGAAACGGAGTTGTTTATTTTAATTGTTGATTATTAATTTTTGTTATCAGTGATATTTCCATAATTATGCAAACTTTATTTTTTTAAAACCATGATTCAATCAATTCAAATATGGATGATGATTATGATCATGAAGATGAACTCAACAATCTATGTACAAATTTGTGATGATAGGTGGATTGATTTAGTAAAAGCCTAAGTTGACTTCATATTCTTTTGTATATTTATTAATAAATTTTATTTTTAATTAATAATTATAATAATAAAATATTAAATAAATTAAATAAAAATATTCTTAAAAAAATCTTTCAAAAGCATTAGATTAAAGTTAAATTTTAGAATATAAAATCTATAAAATAATATATTTTTATTAAAAAATAAATAAAATCACTTAAGATGAAATATATATATATATATATATATATATATATATTTCGTTCATAAAATAAATAATATTATAAATTAATTTTTTTTTTAAATAATATATCTTTAATTTTTAAATCAATCAATATCTATTCATTAATTTAAATTATATATATATTATATATATATATATATATATATAATGATTTCAAAAATTAATTAAAGAATAACTTATTATTGAATTGTTTAAAAAACCTACATTAAGTCAGATTTGAGTTAAGACAATTACAATATGAAAAATAGTTACATGCAACCAACTTTTGATATTGATTTATTCAAGTCTATCAATTTTATCTAATTTATATACATATTCTTCTTTTGTAGCATATTAACCTTTACCTTTCTTACATCATAATCAATATATATGATGAATACAATGTATTGAGAGGAAAAAAATGTAAAAAGAAACCGTGATTTGAATTCAAGCATCATTCAAACCATAATCAGTTCCATGAATCAGAAGAAAACTTCATGAAACCTTCATCAGCGTCGGAAACCCATAACCGCGGATGGAGCATGGATGGGATGTAGGGGTGGGCGAAGAAAGCGCGGGCATGGGTAGAAAGGTCCAAGACCCCAGTAGCCTTATCCAGTATTGGGGGGGGGGTAGGAGGAGGAGGATGCTGATGGTGGTGGTGAATTAGAGGCCCTTCTCTGCACTGCAGTGCACTCTGCTGCGTTGTTGCTTCATCGTGTGTATGTTGCTGTTGGTGGGGAATTTCCAGCGATGGCGGCCTCCACTGTCTCCCACGCCCTCTCGGCTCTCACCCTCGGACCCACTGTCTGTGTTGATCAGGGCTCTCTCCGCTGCCCCATCTCCCTGTCCTCTGGTGTCTCGCTTGCTGGTGTTTCCGAGGTATCATTATTATTACTATGCCACTGCTTTCTTTTCTCTCGTTGCTCTCCTGTTTTCTTTTTTCCCTCCTTTTAGTTTTTTTGTGGGGTGTCTATTGTAGTTCCGAGCATGCGAGGGACACTGTTGGGAGGCGAATTTTCGAGTGAGGTTTTTGGGTGTTGGTGAGGGTATGTGGGAACCATGGTTGTGGGTTAGGTCGGGGAGTTCAGTGCTGGATATGGCGTATCTCGTGCAGATAAGAGGGTTTATGGTTTTTGGGTGGTGGTGGTGGTGCAGAGTGGCGGTGCAGCTCAGAGAGGCCGTCTGCAAATTCGGTGCGCTCGTGTTGGAGGAGTGGAGATCCCCAACAACAAGCGCGTCGAGGTCGCATTGACGTACATTCATGGAGTTGGCAACACCACTTCCAAGCAAATTCTGTTGGACGTGGGTCTTGAGAACAAGATAACGAAGGAGCTCTCTGAGGAGGAGCTCACGTCGCTTCGTGATGAGGTGTCGAAGTACATGATTGAGGGAGACCTTGTAAGTGATTTTGATTCTTATCTGCCCTGGTTCTACTTTCTGCATTCGAGGAATAGGATGGGAATAGGTTAAAGATATACATTATGATAAATTGAAGCAAAGCTTCTACCTTTTAAAGTCATTGCTGCGAAGAAGTTACAGTGCAGAGTCAAATCCAATCTCATTCGCCTCTAGCAGTGTCTTGAGTAAATGTTGCTACATTTGAAATCCGAAAATAACAACAATGTACTGTAGGTATGCCGCGGCTGATATCGATTTAAGGTTTTTGATGGTTTTTGTAGTTGCATAACAATACATAGAGGATATGGCTTGTTTAGGTATTGGTGATTTGGAGCTAAGAATAGTGTCGATGTGTCCCATGCAGCGACGATTCAACACCCTGGCGATCAAGCGGTTGAAAGATATCCAGTGCTACCGTGGGAAGCGTCACCTAGCAGGTTTGCCTTGCAGGGGGCAAAGCACGAAGTGTAATGCGAGGACGAGGAGGGGCAAGAAGGTCACAATTGCTGGCAAGAAGAAGGCTCCCGGAAAGTAGAAAGGATAGTAATTGAATTTTCAGGTTGAATTAAATTCCTGTACACCTATATCTGTTGACTACAGTTATTATTTGAACACTATGAAATTACGTCGTAATCTGACGTGTCATGGCATGTTGATTGAGGTTATTCACATGAAGATATACGAGCTTTCCGGAAGTTATGCACAGACGCCCTCATTCTTAATATGCCGTGGATTTGTATGATATGTTCTGTGTGTTTTATCTGGGCTAACTACTGCGTCTGTTACAAACGAACGTCATGTGTTGCAACATGCTTTGATGTAATCAATAACTAGTTTTTTTCCATTACATGAACTGTGGCTCTTTGGACATTTCTGAAAGTTGTGAATTTCACGATGGAGTGTTCTCTAGCTAACATCATACTAGTATGTTACGGGCGGCAGAGTAGGAGGAATGGATGGAGAAAAGATAATGAGAAAATTGATGTGGATCAATACAATCACTGTGAATTTAGTACACCGATTATGCTTTGAAGAGTGTAGAATGTAACTGTTGCAGAAATTTCAACAACAATATTCCACGCAAAGAAGGTACCCATTTTGTACTCGTAGAAAATTTCAATCTTTATGCAGAGAATAGCAAGCAAATGAGTATAGAAAAACGTAAATAAAATAAAAATGAAAATAAAATCGCATAGTTTCTCCTTCCATTTGACCCCATTCTCTCGGAAGGACGATTATCTTAACCATCTTCCCTGATATCTGTTACCATGATACCCATATTGGTGTAAATTAGTATTTGTCAATTTAGTAACATGTAACATTGCTTGTACCGACTTATGGTATAAACATCAGGATGAGAGTACTCATCAATCGGCTTGATCAGTTATTCCACTGATGATGAAGGTTGTAAATCGATGTATTGCACAAATTCCCATCTAAATTTTGGGTGGAGAGAGTTCATTCAGAATGTGAATATTAATGTTTGAACCAAGTAAATTTTGATGAAACTACTCTCAGTTACTTAAATCAAATGCATTGCTGTTAACACATGTTTTGACTTCAAAAAGTTCATCCTCTGGGCATTTTTTTAAAAAATATCACATCTGATGACACACATTTCGAAAGACGTGCACACGTATGCTTATATGTTCTGTACTATGCTGACAACATCCATCTCAAATAAAAAAATCACAACAAATTCAGCGGTGCAATGTATCTGTGACACTTTTGAAAGATACGGGGTCTTGAACAGCATCAAAGAACGAAGTCAAACAAATAATACAAGTTTCGTGATACAGTCAAAAGTAATTGCTCGTCAAAAACAGTTCTTAATTTTCATTCGCCGACATCACTGCAAAAAAGTAATGTGAGGATGAGCTTTAGTGCCGATGAGCCTTCCAAGACTCACTGCTATGGTATCTCTTCATAGAGCACACGTTACGAAAGAGCTCTCTTCCCTATGTACACAGATTCATGATACACTAATTAATTTGTTGTCTGCGACATGCTCCAACATTGTGTACACCTCACGCTCGCAAAAATGGGACAGCTCCACCCACCGAATCCAACAAAATTATCTGCGAGGATTCGAACAAGATTTTTTGAGTGACCACTGTAGTAAAATCAGTATGTCTGCAAACGTTCCAAGCATACACCTCGCTACAACATGAGTATGTCCATCCACAAATTTAAGAATTTGGAAAACCAATTCACCATAGCACACTGACCTGTGGAGGGGGAATCTGTTGTAGGCATAGGTTTCTAACAGATAACATAATAACATCTGCTTGGAAATGGGAACGGGTTGTGGCCGATACATTCCTGGACATTCTCATGCAGGCAGGATTGTAGAGCCATATGTAGAGTTAGAGAATGTCTTCCATGTCCATCGCCCAACTGACTTTTTTGGTGCTTCTTCTCTTGCCGGTACTCTTTTCCTTCCCACAGAGTCTTGCCACTACAATTCCTTTGCCTATGGGAAGAATGGTGGACTTAGATCCCGGCCTCCTGATCATCTTGTCCTCGTATGAGGTTCTAGCATCTCGTTGAAATAGATTCTCAGCAACCACCACCGCCCGGGAAGGATTCAACCGCAAATAGTCGAAAAGTTCCACAGATTGCTCCTGTTTGCAGTCTATGAGAGCGAAATCTACAGCCGTAATTTGAGATAGGATATCCTTAGCATTTCCGACAATGAACTCGGCCACTCTTGACACACCTAATGTGTTCATGGTCACCATGGCATTCAAAAGAGCGTTTGAGTCGGAGAGAATGCAGATCAGACGCCCGCCTGTCTTGCGTGCGGCAACGGCGAGCGCAATGGTGGAGAGGCTTGCGCACGCGGTGACTTGCACCAGAAGCTTTGCCTCGATACCACCAGCCAACGCGGCGAGAAACTCCGTGCTGTGGTGCTCTGCGTCCCCTGAAGTATGTTTCTTATTAATTTCTAATTTTCCCTGCAAGAACAATAAGCACGTTCCGTTAGATCACGGAAACGAAAAAAACGAAATTACCAAAACAAACAAACTATACAAGACAAAACAAAAAAGCACAATCACGAACTCAAACACAAGACCAGATAGCGCGAAATTGCCTCGCAACCAAATGTAACAAGCTTGACAAGGATCGAGACGGTAAATTCTGCACTCTTAGCGTAGTGCTGAGGACGTATTGGAATTAAGATTGTTATCATTTCCCCGTCTGTCTGAGGTGTGGGATATTAGGCATCATGTGCGAGAGAACAGACCCATTCAGGTTCTAATGCAGCATTTTCCCATCCTTCCAAAATCGATGAATATGTGATAACTCTACTTACCATTTCAACAGTTTGCAAGTAAGCCTGTGCCGCGCTTTCTGGAGACCAACCCATATCGCACTCTTGTCTGTACGCTGAGATGTTTTAACTTCGCAGTATAACTCAGCGGAACCACCCCGTGCACTCCACGGAAAAAATAATACCGAGTCCAGGCAGCATACGAAGAAGAAGCCAGAAGTCTCCTAAGAACGCTCGAGTCGAAAACCTCGGATAAAGCTCTTAAACAGATGTGAATTGTTGGAGCAAAGCCGGTTAGCTTCCCTCTTGTTTAACTTTTGAGTATCCACAACACTTTCAGACATATATGGCAGACGAACAACTCACCCACGTACAATCGCACTTCCCCGTGGAACTTCCAGTAGCTTCTCGACGACAGACAGCTAAGAACACTCTGGACTTTGAGAGCAACTCCCCAACACGGAGCTCTCGACTCCAAACTGATGCAGGACCTCAAAAGACCCCCAGGTAGGTTAGATCTCGCTTTATAATACACGCGTCCAGGAAGGGCATGGAAAGAACGCACCAGAGGAAATAATAAATCAACCGCTGACTAGATTCAACCGCGAAGGAAGCGGAGGAAAGGTAGAGTCATACTAAAACGGATCCCGTTACGATCAGAACAACCGCGTGCTAGCCAAGCAAACTTCCACACACTCTCCACTGCACTGCACTCCACAGTCAATGCATGTACCCTACCGAACGACGATTACTCGATTTGTCCACTGCGTCGACTCCACCCAGGTAGTATCTAATCGTGGGTTCGACGGAGCAGGTGCGTGTGGCCCAAGTCAATTGTACCCTTGAGGAGAAAGCATCCGTCGACGTCGCAGAAGCCAGCCAACCAACCCAGGCGGATCGCGATTGTCATCGTCATCGAATAGTAACCGCTGTCGTGAATCCACTGTAGAGCCGTTGCGATTAATAGATGCCTCTCGACTTTTGAACTTCAGGATGGGGCCGCCACTACCACCAGCTGGTAGTGGATTTCTCCCTCCCTTCCCATCGAATCGCAGCTGGAGGGCTCCACTCAACGCCGCAACAGGAAAAAGCTCCCCCCAGTCGCGGAATCATGAGGCCATGGTGACTCATCCTCCCCGACAATCTTTCTCTTCGTGATCGAAGCTTCATTCATGGGCCACGCCGCCTCCGTGGCGCTGCGTAGTATATTATTATATCACACCTGCGCGGCCTTTTCCTCGCGCCGCCCTCTCTCACATGCTCCTTCTGTTCGTCGAAATTGACGCGCTCCATTCGCCTGTAGATACTTAATCTGTTCATTCTTATTCTTCATCTGCGTTTGTGTTCATTCATCCATTTATCTAACGTCTGTTCATCTCCCTGTTGAATTGTGGGAGCTAGGATTAGTGTGTGTCTCGACTTTTCTTCTTTTTTTTCTTTTTTTTTTTTCTTTTTTTAATTCGGAAGCTACAATTGGTAACCATTTCTTATTCTGATAATTCTTGTGCTCCTTGGATTTGAATATCAAGCTCTTGGTACGAAGTGATGTGCCATTTGTTTTTGGTCCTTGTTTCTATATTTTTATATATGAGCATAAAGATGTTGAGAGTTGGACTAGCTACTTGTACGCTATTATGTGAGTGTTCGTTTTAAAAAATTAAGGATTTGGGAGGTATACTATTTCAAAGCACTGGTTTTTCGTCCTGGCTTATTTTTAAAAAAATCCCACAAACAATAATATGGATAACAAAGTGTCGAAGAATGCATATTTGCAAGCTTTACTGTTCATAATGGAGTTTGGAAGTTTGGACTTTGCTCTATTTAGAAGTACAGCCTCCAAAAAGTGACAGATAGCATTGGAACTTGGTTCTACTGTTACTTATTTTAGGATTACCACCATAAAGTTTCTCACTGCTGCATCAACATGCAGCATAAGATCATGCATTCCCACACGACGAACTTACTATATTGTGAATCTTCTGGTACATGTTGTCTAGTATAAAGTGGATTTTAGCCAAATATGTTGTTCACTTAGGCAAAAAGGTTTTTTTGATGGTGCTAGTTTGACTGTAATACCTCCATGGTTATTCTTTTTTCATTTTTTTCATGTACAATATTTGTTTTAAAATACTTTTAATCATTTTGTGTAGTTGTGAAGGTATAATGTGAAAACCTCACAAAGTCCCTGATTATTTTTTTCATGTTTTTAATATTATTTGTTTGTGAATTTACACTTGTGATAATGAAAATCCAGATGGTAGTGTAGAAAATGTAAGCTGTAAATGATACAATTTGATGGAGAAATAATCTAATGGTAAGAAAGGATTTCAAATGATACAATTTACTTGTCTGTAATGAATTCAATTCTATCCTACGCTTTTGTTCTCTGAATGATATGATACACAACACGAGTTTAAAATACAGTTTATCAGATTTTGTATTGCAACAATTCTAATTTCTGACCTATTTATCAAGATTCAACTCATGCAAATACTTTTGTCTTATTACGTCACTTAACAAGTTGGTTGATCACCACAAGTGTATAATTAAATTTTGTACATCTCACATTGCAATCACATTGAATGCTAGTCTTTTTTAATAGGATTCAACTACCACAAGTTGTTGTGTACTTTAATAAAGCACATAAAATACTGAACATATACTATAATTAAACAGTATTGATACCAATAAATGATGATTGCAAACTTAGTAATAATAAGAAATTAAATTAAACAAATTTATGTGTGTATGAATAGAAGGGAGAATATGTACAAGAACAAACTTTTAATACTTTTTAGAAAATAAATCATTAGATTTACTAAAGTATTTCCACCATCATTCTTTTATTATTATTTTTTAAGTTTCAACAATTTTTTCAACTAAGCTCTCTGAAATCGAACATTTGATTTGTTGAAAAATATTTATACATAAAATAAAATCTAATGTTGCTAACATAATTCCTTTACAAACAAAGCAACTTGGACATAATTTGTATAATTGCACACAGTAAAACCTTTTACTTGAAATGAACACAAAGCTTTTAATTATCTTAAAATCTTGTCCACAATTAAATTTTCAATATTGAATGTCTTTGGGTGACTTGTGAAATGGATTTATTTATTTATTGTATTGTATTGAAAGCTGATTTGTGCAGTATGTTCCTCATGAGCACAATTATTATTATTATTATTATTCTTACTCAATTTATATTTATTTATATATTTAATAAATTTATTAATGTAAAAGTTATTTTGAAATACCAAGAATTAATTTCATATATATATATATATATATATATACACACACATTAATTGAAATTCCCAAATACAACTTTTACTTGGAACATCATTAATGTCACAATATCCCAAAGAAATTACTAACTCAAATTTTAATTATTTTCCATTGTAACAACATAGTCTAGAGCAGGTGTTATTTTATTTTATTTTATTTTATGTTTTTGTAAAATAACAGTATTATTATCACTACTTTTATTTATTCATGTTTTTTAATCAATCCTAATTTTAGTATAAAAATATATGTTTTGGTTATGCTGACTAAATATAGCTTTTGCTTTTCATGTTTAAGCATGTAATATTTTATTGTTTATTGTATAGAATAATCAAATCATTCCAGTAGTACAAAATGATCACAAACACATTGTTATTCTTCAAATATAATAAATGTTTACAGAAGTTTTGTTTTGGATTTTTGACTTTTTCGTTATGTTTTCTTGAGACCACATACGTAAAATCATATTATTTTGTAATTTTTCACTGCTTATTTTTTATGCGATTGTTAATAACTTCAAAGATGTTTAACTTTTTCTTTAATAAATTTAAATGACTACAAAGAGATCAAATATTTCACGAATTATATTCATCAAACACTCATTTTTATTTTTTAAAAAATCGTTCAACATACTTTATAAAAAAAAACACTTACAAAGTTTGGATTAAAACACTTACAAAGTTTGGATTAAATTATTGGGTATATACATGTATGCATACTTCTTCATTTGTGACATATTTTTTTTGTTTCACATGTAAAAAATAGATGGTATATTTATTTGTTAGATATTGGAAAAATAAAGTTTCTATACTATATTCTAAAGTTTAAAAATACACGCATTATAGTTGTATTACAACAACATTAAAAACAAGGTTGCATCATGGATTAAAAGGGATGAGGCAGGACAATGAAATTACTACATTAAAATCATTCAAAATGTGTTAGTACTAAAAACACATACTTCTTGGATGTTGTTAAAAGAATAAAATTGCATGGATCATGCAAACAATGTTCTTTATCAAGAAACTTCTTAGAATATCTTCCTCAAAAATCTCAAAAACCCTCACTTCAATGCAGAAATACTTCAAAGGAGTCAAAATAACAGATCCTCTGCAAACATTTCATCCACTAACATCAACGTCGTCATCCATCTATTTATTCATTCCATCACGATCCCCACGCCTCATGAGCCCTGGGGACTAAATACCTTGTGAAGAGAACCGACCCGGCACCGGCCCAGCCTGTCCCCTCGGCGGAGGCTTCAGCAGCCTTATCCAGTGAAGGAAGATGATTCTGCCGCTGTGCGAGGGTAGGGATGGGGAGGGGTCGAGATTGACAAGCCCTGGCGATTGTGTGCACTTGTTGAATTGCACTTTGTGTTGGTGCTGGTGCCTCAGGATCTGCAGCGATGGCGGTCTCTACTGTCACTCACGCCCTCTCGACTCTTGCCCTTGGCCCCGTCTGCGCAGAACAGCGCTTGCTGCACATTTCTACCTCCCCTTCCGTGGGTCTTTCGCTTTCTGGAGCTTCCAAGGTTTGCTACTGAGCATTGCAGCATCGTTCTGCATTTTGGTTCTTTCTTCAATACTCGTCGTGTTGGTTATTGGGTAGAGCTCAGAATCTGCAGAGGAGCTTGTTAGGAGTTGGGTTTTGAATCTTATGAGCGAATTCTGGGGTGTTAGCGGGGGGTTTGGTGGTGTTGATTGTGGTCAGTTAGGTTGAAGAATAGATACTTCATGATATGATGTGTTAATGTTTATGATATGTTAATGTTGGCGCAGAGCGGTGGTGCTTCACGAAGAGGTCTTCTGCAAATTCGGTGCGCTCGTGTTGGAGGAGTGGAAATCCCCAACAACAAGCGCGTCGAGGTCGCATTGACGTACATTCATGGCGTTGGCAACACCACTTCCAAGCAAATTCTGTTGGACGTGGGACTTGAGAACAAGATAACGAAGGAGCTCTCTGAGGAGGAGCTCACGTCGCTTCGTGATGAGGTGTCGAAGTACATGATTGAGGGAGACCTTGTAAGTGATTTTGATTCTCATTTGCTTTTATTTTCAGTTTTATACTTGCAATTGACGGGTTAGAGTAGGAATGTACACATATGAGCGAGTTTTTTGATAAAACCTTAAACGATTGATGGTAGAGGTAATTTCACGGTTAGGTGGATATATGTAGGTAAGAGGCATTTGTGTGTCAATGTGCTATTGTTAAGCAAGGTGATATTATTATTTTGTATGCAGCGACGATTCAACACCCTGGCGATCAAGCGGTTGAAAGATATCCAGTGCTACCGAGGGAAGCGTCACCTAGCAGGTTTGCCTTGCAGGGGGCAAAGCACGAAGTGTAATGCGAGGACGAGGAGGGGCAAGAAGGTCACAATTGCTGGCAAGAAGAAGGCTCCAGGAAAGTAGAAAGAGTCTAGGGATAGTAGTTTCTGACTTCAGAAGTATCAGTCGACACATTTTTGCATCAAGTGAATCACTGCATTCCTCTCATCTCAAGCCAATTCTTTACATTCTTTGATTCAATGATCAATTTTGTACTGAACGTTGTATGTGGATCACTAGTCTGCATCGAGTGTTCTTTTTGTGCACTGTCTCCAGTACCATCCGAGGTTCATCATCAAGGGAATTACAGCTTGAATTTCAATTGCACCTCTTCAAGAGTATCAGGTTACCGCATCAGTTGTTTGTTTGACCTCGTAGATTCTGGACCTCAGACTGCTTCTAAACGTATTGCCGAGAGCTACTGCAGCTCCATCTCCTGAATGAACTTTGTTTGTCATTTATGATTCAAGTCCTTTATGCTCTTGCAACCTCCATATCTCGTGCATGATGAGGGTTTGCATCCTTCTTTGTTTTATTGATATTGAATTTGTATGTGGAGAGTGTGTAGAAATGGAAGGGCAAATTCAGTGGTTCTTGAACATCCTGCGATAAGTCCTATTCATTTGTTCGAATATTTTACTGTAGAATCCTCATGTCCAGATCAATTCTCGTCACTGGTGAAGTGTGTAGTTATGCAGCACAAAAGTCACCTGAATAATCAGAGTATATCATGGAACCTTTGTGCATTGGGTAATTTAACGCATGCACTTAAATTATTTGAATACAATGTAGTCATGGGCATGTAGGGACCAGTTCAAAGTCACTTGTACTGTTTTAAAACCATCTTTATAGTGTTGGTCCTGATGTCTGGGAAACTAGCGAAGAATATTCTGCAAGTTGAAATTGTGTTATAACCTTTGTTTGATTTTACATACACTTAGATACACGACTTATTCTCTAGAATGTGAACATTTGGTAAAACTCATCAGTAGTAACGATAATTTTATTATTATAATGACAACAAACATTTGAATTTGAAAATAACGTGATTGAAGTGGTGACGACTACTAGAAAGCGACGTTGAAGCTTTTGGATTGTTGAACAATCAGCTATAGAAGAGAAATTGCAAAATTTTGCTGCAAGGTTGTGTGGCAACTGCTGAGGATGTTTACAGCAATGAGTTTTATTATTTCTTTTTAGAAGTATTTTAATTAAAAGGAATCTTTGAACGAGATAACCAAGAAAAAGTAGTGAAGTTAATATGGCAAATGGAAAAACGGTTAAGTAATATGTAAAAGGAACTACCTTCTTTTTCAAACGTACAAAAGAGATGATATGACATGTTCTATTGTCAAATTTTTAGAAAAGTGGTTATTTTTATTTATACAACGATCCTTTTTCAAAGAAAATAGTCAGTATGAATTCTTAAATTCCGACAGATTTTATCAATTTTCATTTAAAAGAACCTAATTTGAGATACGTCAGTTTACAATTAGTGTTCCAACATTATAAGCCATGTAAATACAACATATTATTCAAATTATAATAATGCCTAGATTTCTGATTTCTTTAGGAGGTGTATATTCTAGATCAATAAATTTTCTATTGTATTCAAAGTAACAGAGTTTCTTTAAGAAATTCTATCTTCCACATATTTGTCGAAAATAAAATAAATTTAAAGAAACTGTTTGTTCCTCTTTTTCATACATATGTATATCCGTACATATATGAAAATTAAAAACTGTAAAAGAATTTAAAAACCAGTGATAGTGGATGAAGAAAGAAGTACAAGTTGGTACGAATATGTCAGACCAGATATTTGTTGTTTGGTAATTGTAATTGAAAAAGATTCCATACTTGCAAGAGGCCATCAAGTGATGTTTGAAGGCGACAAATTCCTCCAACAACTTGAAATTCTTTACCTATTTAGATGCTTTAGCAGATTAAATATAGAATCAATAGTATTTGATGGTTCAAGCCTCTTTCAAATATGTAGGATTTTTTAGAAGTCTTTTATAAAAATAAAAAAGTGAAAGACAAAAAGAGCAATATTTTAAAATCCAATTAATATTCAGCTTTTTTTGAAGTTTAAGGCCAAAAGTGCGTACTTACGTATATTTCTTCAATATTGTAAATCACCCTTATTGTTTTCCCACAAGAAACAAAACTCATGCACAATGAAGACTGTTCATAATAATTATAATAAATGTATACCAAACTTTGTGGAGTTCAAGCATTATGTACCAATCACCTTTGCTTCGATCTTGTGTTTTGAATGAATAGAACGGTTAGAATGTCGATCAAAAACTGCTATGGTGCAATGGCAACACAGAGTACCTTGTGTGCCAGAATTAAACAAATAATACACTTGTTTTAAGAAAGGGATAGTTGAAACCCACCTACTTGCAGGTAGTGGTACGAGCATAAATCTTCAGATGTCATTGTTGACCACAGTCCAGTAGACTATGCCACACGCTTGCTCTGCCACTTTTTTACTGAGACTCGCACCACAAACGTAAGATCACTTTCTCACCTAGAGAATTAAAAATCCAGCTTCCAACCTGCAGGATAACTGATTAGAGCAAACTAGACAGCACAATTCAGATAGCAAACTTCATAGTTCGAAATCGGTGGTTCGCAACATGAGAACTGATCACACCGAAGAGGTTGTGAGCTTAGTAAGAATAAAGGTGTACCCTGCAGACAGCGCAGCTCCTACTGGAATGGTCACTAACCAGGACGCCACAATTTCTCGAACTACGTCTCCTCGGACATTATTGAGACCCCGTGCAAAACCAACACCCATCACAGCTCCTACCTATGTGTGGGTAGCAGAAATGGGCAAACCATAATCGAGAAGCTAAAACGACTACTGTGGCTGCAGCAAATTCTGCTGCAAAGCCCCGAGTAGGTGTTAATTCTGTGATCTTCTAGCCTATTGTAGCAATAACTTTATATCCCCAAACAAGTAATCCAGCCACAATGCCAAATCCACCCCAAGCCAGCACGTCTACAGGCATGCTAGGCGGGCCGCCGCTTGCAAGGCTGGTGTTACGCAGAACACCCAGAGCTGCAGATGTGGGTCCAATAGCATTGACTACATCATTTGCTCCATGTGCAAATGACATGAAACATGCTGAGAGAACTTGCATGTAACCAAATACACTGTAAACAATCGTCAATTGTTTGCCGTTTGGTCCTTCATCCTTCTTCAGCTTCCCCTGTTCCTCCTCCTGTGGTAGCTCGCAATATGCTCCTAGTAGTTGCCCCAGCTGACGGCGAATGACAATGTTGATAATAACTGCACCAAACCAAGACCTAGAGCCTTGCATCCAGCTATAACAGCACCCTCCTGTATAGGGAAAACCATGAATGATAACGCTGCTACTCCCATAAAAACTGTCAACGGCGCGGCAGTGGACGCTGCTTGTCCAGGATTCGGTGCCCTGTAAACGAATTGATCCAATTTACTAACAAGCCCCATCAAATTTAGAGAGCTTAAAAAAATGTGAGTATGAAGCGTTGTCAAAATAAATTGAATTACTTTGAGAGAATGTGGGGATTCATAACCACAACTTTCCGTTCTATGCCAAGGGATTAGAAGCGCAAGGTCATTTGCTTTGTAATAATGCAAGTTGATGAAACGTCGAATATAAATTTACAGACTTGCACTGACTGACTTGGAAGTGGAATCATTGACGATAGCTGACGGGGCTGAACAAGGGAGTAGTGGAGACACGTGCCCTTCGAATGCACTTGTGGAGCAGAAATGAGGATCCATGAAGATACAACTCGAAATAGCGATGTCCCATGAACAGCTCCAACGCCACCAAACGCAAGGCCAAAGCCCACCATGGCCCCGATATTACAGTGTATGGTCGACACTGGCCATCCAAAATAAGAAGCAACCTGCAAGTTATACCAATTTAACAATGAGGAAAAGCTCCAGCATAATTATTTAAAAATCCGCATATACTCATGTTATTTAAGAAAGAAGAAAGAGGATAAGGCTAGATTAGCCTTTCAATGTTGCTTCTTTGAAATAAGTTTTCAACTCAAACCAGTACAATACAAGAAATGTGGACAATTGTCAAAGAAATACAAATTCGATAATCGGAGGACAGTTCGCAATTACTGAGGTTTTAACTGCAGGAGGCTCTCAAGCTAAAGTCTTTTCCTATCAAATTACATAAGCAAATAGGAATACATTCTACACAAAAGTATAATACAGGTTTCTATATTATCATTCCAATGTGGTGTATCAGCTGTGCTGTAATTGGATGGAAAAACTTGTTCTGTGAACTAAGGGTCGGCTTCTAAAATAGAAAGCACTCAAGACCCAGATACGCACTCACCTGAGGCCTGGTGCCAGAAGCTCCGAGTGAAGAGGAGGGGATGTAGAGTAGATGGTAGAGCAGATGGTAGAGCAGCAGAGCAAGGCGGCGGGATCCATGAAATCTGGAGCCGCACCCTAGTGATCCACAAATATCAGAATGTTTGATTGTTGAGAGATTTCATAGCACAATTGTTTGGAGAAGCTTTGCAACACTAACACTCTAGGAGATTGAGAAGCAAAAATTTGCAGATAGATTGGACACACAAATTGTAGATCCAAATTTTTAGGCACACCCAACTATTTTGCGTGTAATGACAATAACATAACCTCTTAAGTAAGTATTCTTTCTCTTGATATTCTATCTAAAACATAAGAGAGTTTAGAAAGTTTTGCGAGTCTCGATTCAAAAGAATGAAGGTCCAAAGGAAGCTTTGAGCTACAATCCTTCCAACCTATAGACATAGGGGCATTTAGATTGACTTCACTTGAACAAAAAATAAATAATACAATACCATTAATACTTCTACATTTGAAGGATTTAATGAGATTTATACTTAGAAGCCTCAGCTTATTTTATAGACAAAGAATTTGTCAAAAAATAAGGAATATCGTTAGTCAAAAAAACTAAACTTGTATATGTAGAAGTCATAGATAGTTATTCACTATCTTTTGGAGATATTATGCATGAGACTGTTTTTTTAGATGTAGCAATTAAAGATCATAATAACATAGTAATATTTAATGTGATAAGATCTCCATTTAATTTGATTATTTTAGAATAATCTTGGTTAAAAAAGTATAATTCTAAGATAGATTGGATTTCTTGTAACCTTAATTTTTTTAATAGTTTAACCCAAAATCTAGTTAGTCAAGTAAAAATACATAAGTTTAATACATTCAAATGCTTATTAGTAGGTGCAAGAGCTTTTATGCATGCCGCAAAAGAAGGGTTATCTTTTGCTTTATATGCCATATTCATTTTTGATGGTAA